TCTCTGCTGATGGTCAGAAGCCATTGTTCAATTTTTGTTGAAGTTTATTTTGAATGATAAAATATATTTTTGCATTATTTGGTAATATTACGTAATTATTAAATAAAATAAATCTGTTTTCTTTATTTTTTTATTGATATTGTCTAAATAATATATACAGATCGATCCCGGTCCGTATATATGTATACGGACCGGGATCGGTCCCAATATTTCGTGAACATTATATTTTTTTTTCTAAGTTACATTTGGTATTTTTCAATAAATACCAAAAGTCATAAATTATACGAGAGCCGGCTCTAGTCTTGGAGCCGGCTTAATTCTAGAGGGAGAAGCTCGACTATACAAAGAGCTGCAGAAGAGCCGGCTCTATTCATGGAGCCGGCTTAAATTTAGAGAGAAGACTCTCGGGTTTTTGGGTGGAGCCGGCTGTGAAAGTGGTTGAGCCGGCTCTACTGGCCTTGATTGGGACAAACAGAAAGTTTGGGGCTGTTTTGAAGGTAATGCACCTTAATATGATATACAGACCGATCCCGGTCCGTATATAGATATACAAACCGAGATCGGTCCGTATATTCCCTAGACTGCACCTTTTCCTCTTTTTTTTTCCATACGTTATATTTCGTTAATTTTAAAATTTTTCATGTATAATATAATTAAACTTTTACATATTTTAAATTATTATTTTAAATAATTATTCCAGACATGTTTTACTTTTTTATAAATGCATTTATTTTGAATGATAAAATATATTTTTGCATTATTTGGTAATATTAAGTAATTATTAAATAAAATAAATCTGTTTATTTTATTTTTTATTGATTTTTTTCAATGATATATACAGACCGAAAACGGACATTGGTAATATTTTTAAATAATATTCCGTGAACATTAGCTTTTTTAATTTTTTTTTCTAAGTTACATTTGGTATATTTTAAAATTTGTCATATATAATATTGTCACGCCCCAGAACCCGAATCCAAGGCGCGACAGACGCCGTGCACTCGTGAGATGGGTCCCACAAATGCACAAGGCTCGGAACTTACTGAACAAAATCGGTTTTGATACCATAAAATTTCCAATTAAAATCTAACTTACAAGAGCATGGAGTATATGTATCTAAAATCTATGTCAAATCTCAAGTGGCTAGCCTTTTATCACGTCACTCCCCTTGATTTCCGAGTCTCGGGGCACACTACCTGAAATGGTGGACGAGAAAAACAAGGTGAGATAACTCAGTAAGTAAAATATGGATTGCCCTTAATTAAACTTATAGCATGCCAACAAGTGTAATCACGAAAAACGGATACAGTACGGGCACGAAATAGATGTCTCCTCTACAGGTCATGGCCAGCGTTTATAAACCTCCCACTGGCGGGCACTCGAGTACTAGTGTATAATCCCCACTAGTAGGGCCACGAACGAACCGGTTCTATCACAAACATGTCGACATGTGCTAGCGTTTATAAACCTCCCCCACTAGCGGGGTCACGAATAACATGACCACATCGGAGACAAAACAGGCAGAAGTTAACAGGAAAATCACAATTCACAATCACTTTCAGATCATCAGGACAGTTACTTAAATTTCAAGTAGGCATGCTCAATTTAATGAAAAGCATAAAACAATTCACTTCAAATCCGTCATGCTCGTGTAAAACGGGTTTAGTCCCGCCACCATTTCAAAAACAAATCAAAACATGCTTGAAAAGTCGAAGGGCGTTACCATAATTTTACTTACCTCACTCCGCAAAACCGAGCACTCAATTC